CCTAAAGTCTGTCTGACCCACATATTCGCATTTGTCATGTAAAATGGACCATAAAACATGTATCACACGACACTTTCATATTGTGACCCCCCCAGTGACCTGACCTCTGTGACCTGACCTGGTATCAGTGACCTCAAATAGCAAAATATGTGTTTGAAGAACATTTCTCCATCGATGATTTTCAATGAAATGCATTTTACTCGATTTTACAACGCATTTCTTGAAATGCCTGTAAACAGTGAAAATTCGACTTTGACCTGACCTGTGACGTCATCGGTTTGACCGAGGTCAATGAAATTGGGTCACAAGGTAGTTCTCCGCTGGGGCTATCCAGCACCGTTTACCGCTTGTCGCTATGTTGCGTGGTTCTCGAGATCTGAGGGGGGGCCAAAATGCCCCCCCCCCCATCAGACCGCGTTGCTCGGCAGACCCCATCTGGGCGCGGGTTAATAGATTTGCCAATAGTGGCTAAGTAGCTTGGAAAATTCTAGCTTTTCCCCGAAATGTGGCGCTTAATCTGCCATATCTGGGTTACACATTGACCTAGGGTCAAGAAATATACCACCAATCGCGAGTTCTCGTTGAGAGCAGTGTTCGCCACGGGCCGGGCCAGCCCAACAGGCCATGGGCCGGGCTGGGCTACGGGCTGGGCCGGGCCCCCAAATATCATTAGTTAACGGGCTATGGACGGGCCGGGCCAAGAGCTTTGTGGACTATGGGTTTTGCGACTAATGTCAATGTCAGGGACCCTCCCACCTTAACATTAGTTTTGAGTTGAGATAGCCAAGTTTGCGGCCAGGCTCAGAAACCACCATTTATCCTGGTCGCAACCCCCGCAGCTTTATGGTGTTCAAGAAATTTCTTCCCTTTACTTGCAGGGTGGGACCAGCGTGGTCCCTATCTCTTAACCATTACGGGAATCTGATGACGTCATCAGGCTTTCGAACGTCCGTTAAATGTTTGACTAAAACGTTTTGTAGCACGCGGTGGTATATGCTGCTTTGCGCGCAACAAATGCCGCACTTTCAAATAAAGTCGCTAGGAACAGCGGAGATCTCAAAAAGTAAACAAAAGTAAAAGTCTAATATCTTGAAAACCGGTGAATATTTTTCGATGAAATTTGGCAGATATTCGTTTTTGCTCTTTCTGAACCGAGCGACATCACTTTCATGCCAATTCATTAACTTTTTTGAAGGTGGGAGGGTCCCTTTAAGAAAATTTGGAAACTGATGCAAACAAAACCCACTGGGAAAATACTAAAACTAAACCAAATTTAAGCAATGTGAAAGAAAACGTACTTGATATTGAATTTTGGGAATCCTGAGAATTATCCAATATCATATCATGTCACACATAGGAGGGTTTTCATAAAAATTCCGCAACCAAAAAGATCAGAGAATCTCTAGCATCATTAGTTTGTTAATAAAAGTTAAAATGTAGTTATCAGAATAACTTACTTAGCACTACAACTCCAAAAACTAAGAAGCCACTCAACAATGATGGGCTACAGGGCTACATTAAGTTCAACACTTATATATGGCGATAGTGAGACAATTCCAACACAGTCTTTTTCCTTCACCGACGGCTTTTTAACCAACAGAACCTTAAAAGGATACTCACGAAACACAATGTAAGTAACGAGGAATTCTACAGAGTATTTCGCGATGAAAGCTTCTTTAAATGTCCATAAATTTGTCAAAATAAATCACAACAACAACAAACCATCCCCTTCTCAACAAAATTTGCGATCATGGCGCTATGTTTTATGTGGCGGCATCTAGGTAGTATACACAACAGTATATCAAATAAATACGTTTTTTAAGTAAGTATCAAGGTGAAAAACAAAATAAAACAAATAAAAAATAAAATTAAAATCACGAAGTCTGAAAACGCGAACGAAAAACAAAATAAGAACTTGATCATATATGTTTTATTATACAATTGGTCAGAATCGCTACCTGCCGCAGCTGCGAAAATCAAGAAGTGTTCGCTAATTTTCAATTGATGGTGATGATGCGTAAAAGTCGCAAAAGTACCCAATGACATTTCAAGCTTTCCATGTTTTCTGCTTACGCTGCTAGCGATATCCATATCTTGAAAAGAGCCTAACATAAAATAGCAAGGAAAGCAGCAGATACCTAGTTGTTCACAGAGATTCGGTTGACACGTGGGCATGAATTGAAAATAAATTAAATCAGTTTTGCTGATAAATGGATGGATTTTCTCTTTTTTGGAAGACAGTGCTAAAGCTAGTGTCACCTATTTTGTATTCTTTCTCAGGCTTTTGACATTGCAGCATCAATGGAGTGAATTTAACAGCAAGGTCAATCCCAGACAGATTCATTAATTCCCATAAGTCAAGCTTTTTTCTGCTGGTAAGTGCTGGGAAGTATAGAGTAAGTTGCAAATACTTCCTTCAAGTATGCATTAGAGTCACCAATTATGCATGATAATGTTCACACACATCAGCTTGCAAGATAACTTTACTCATAGAATATAGTTAATATAATCATGTGAACTTTTTATAGGTGTGTAATCATGACCTAATTGACTGAGGTGCTTGCTGTTACTGTTAAAATTTGTGCCATAGGTCCTTGAAATGATTATATTCATTGAAAAGAAGGGAGTCATGATTGCCATGTTAATATTCATGCAATTTGAATTGTTCTCAAAATAGTGTAATCAATCATGCTTATTATAGCAATAGACTAAGACAATAACTAGATTGCTATTTTTGACGGGCCGGGCCGGGCTGGGCTTGGACATATTTGCCAAGAGCGGGCTACGGGCTGGGCCGGGCTCTGAACCCATGGGCCCGGGCCGGGCTGGGCTGGGGATTTTGGGGCCCGTGGCGAACACTGGTTGAGAGCAATCGACTGGGCTTTGTTGCGGAGCGCTACGACGCTTAGGTTCGAAACGCCAGGGGGTCGCATCGACCCCCCCCCCCCCTGCCAGGCCGCGTTATGAATAATGCTGCCAGGGCGAGGGCCAATTACTTAACCCTCGCCGGCACAGGCCATTTTGCGTCCTTCGACGGCACAAGGGGGGGGGGGGGGTTGGTACGACCCCCCCCCCCCCCTCGCGTTTGGCCCCTGATCGAGCTAGAGCTTCGCGGAAAAAACGAGCGTGTTGCTCGTCACGAGAGGAAGCCGATGATACCCAATTTTAAGGTCCTAGGTCATCGGGTGACCTTCCAGGTCAGGTCAATGACCCGAAAACCGGGAAAATCGGGACCTGTTAGAAAGTCGTAAAGTGTGGCTGCTATGTGGTTTTCTGGGGTGCTGATCACAAATATCGTGTTAGTTTTGATCAGAGATGATGATTTTAAGCATTTAGACCAGGTCGGGTCAGGTCAGGTCAGGTCAACCGGTAGGGGTTGTGACGGGTATTCGTAATACGTGTCAACCGCCTCTGGCAGCTTCGTAACATGTTACGAAGGCACCAAAACTACTTCGTAAATGTTCAAATGGTTGCTAAATTCGAATTCAGCTCCAAAAACTAGCCTAGAAACATGTAAAACTCGAAAAAGTGAACCGAGGTCACTCGAGGTCACCAAAGGTCAATGACCTGACCTGACCTTCAGGTGACCTTGACACCCACCCTAATGTATGGGAGAAACATCAAATCACATGTTTGAACGTTTGAAACCACGAAAAGCTTGCAAACGCGCGGCTAATGCGAGCCGACATACGCCGAATCGCGATTTCGGCCAGACATGGTCACGGAAAAGAGGTCACAGGTCAAAGGTCATTGGAGTCCGGGTCATGAAATTTTCAGGGAACGTGTAAAATTGATCAATGCGAGGGTACTGAAAGTTTCGTCGCGATCGGCCGCTTTTTACGCGAGTTATTCGCGAAAAACCTTAGGGGGGGGTTGCATCAACCCCCCTCCCCCTGTGCCGGCGAGGGTTAAGCATAGAACGACCATATCTTACGTCATTAGCCACATGGACTTTAAAGAAAGTGGCCTTAAAGATGGCAACATCTCATTGTTAAGCATAGGTGCAATTGACCCCATGGGCTGGTTCAATTGATCCTCCCATCGGGGTCATTTGAAACAGTCGTAGAGCTGTTTTATAAGCATGCGTTTAACAGCAAAATATGTTTGAAACACAATTTCATATATCTTAAAATAAAGTCGAAAATATATTTTTTCATGGTATTGTTCATTTGTGATATGACAACTAGATCTCGTTGTGAATGTCAATATATAAAAAGTGGTTCAACTGGCCCCGCTCTCCCCTACAAGCAAATGTGGATTATGAATATTACGAGCCCATTCTTCTTTTTGTATGAAATCTCTCATAATAACTGCACATGGCACTAGCACAATGCCAAAGCATGGATGAGATTACAAGATGAGCTGGTAGATGGGTTGGATTAACGTTAGCAAAACTGACCTGTCTTCCTTCAAGGTTTGCTTTCTCAACATCTGTTTGTTTATTGAACTGAAGTGGCAGCTGTTGCCTGTTTCTAAGATAACCATCCATTTGTGCTGACTGTTTTCATGAAAAAGTTATAATTTGTCACAAAAAGTAGCACTGTCTATGTTCCTGGTCTATTTTAATTGCGGTAGAAATGTTGTTGATTTAGAGTTAAAACTCAAATTTAATTATTATAATGATTACAAGTGGTGTTAATTATGGCCGAGAATTGACAGTCCACAATGGTATTGCACTGAATGGAGTAAAATTATGTAGGAAACTGGTTCAATTGACTACATCTTGTCGTGAGTTCCATACAGACCATAGGTCCACCACACATTTTGCCTGTGGGATCCACAGAAATCACAATTCCTAACCTACAGAGTTGTCGCGAGATCACATGAGTTCACAGATCCAACCCCTAAATTTTGTCGAGAGATCCACTGAGATCATAGATCCAGCCCCTAAATTTTGTCGAGAGATCCACCGAGATCAAAGATGCACCTCTCAGACCCATGCACATGTCTGCCGCCATTATTGCCATTATTGGTGTGCGGTTTTCAAATAGATAGAGTTGTAGATGATTATGTATATTTTGCACTCCTCACAAACCACATCACATTTATATAAATAAATAGATAGCCGAGGGCCGATGAAACATCACAGAGCGTAACTTGTCGAACATGGATGGCGAATGGGTGACTTAGTTGTAGGCGGGCTTGTAAGCCGGCTGATAGGCGGGCTTGCCGTAGCTGGGCTGGGGCTCGACGTAGGCGGGGTCCACCTCGGGGGTCGGGTACTCGGTGGGCACCGGGGTGGGCAGGATGTCGCTGGACGGCTGGTAGCCGTTCTCGTCGGCGACAAAGGCGACCTTGACCTCCTCGCCGTAGCCGTTGGTGTAGCTCCAGGAGCCCTCCTGGCGGTAGAGGTCCTCCGCCTCGCCGTAGGCGTTCTTGCCGTAGCCGGGCACCGGCACGCCAGTCTCGGACCTAAAAGAAGAAAAAAATAGTCATTAAGAGTGTTCCATTGTCCGGTCATTCAGATCGCCTTGCACCTTATTTACCTATCAATATTCAGTGTTGTTTATTGATTTGTTGGTTTGGTTTTGTCAGTCGGCGATTTTCGCGTTCTCGTTCGTTTTATCATCAGTTTCGTATATTTGATTATCACTGACCTGTAGATGCCGTTCTCGGTAGAGAACTTGGAGCTGTAGGTGCCATCTCCGGGGTGGACGTCCTCCTGCTCCAGGATAGCGATCGGCTTGTAGCTCGAGTGGCCGTAGGACGGGGCAGGAGCGTACTTGGGCTGGGGCTTGTAGGTCGGGGCCGGGGCGTAGGTCGGGGCAGCGTAGGTCGGGGCAGCGTAGGTGGGACGGGGCCTGTAGGAAGGCTGGGGCCGGTCGGCGACGGCCACCAGGGCCAGAGCAGCGACGATGAACTGGAAAACGAGCAACAGGAGCAGTTATGAAGATGTTACTAAATCGACATGGGTCCTAGGCACTTCCAGCAAAGTAGCCGCTAAATGTTGATGGGCATATGTGAAAACGGTGATGCGTGATGATGCTGATAACAAATATTTATAATAACTTAATAGAAATGACGTTAAACAATCTAAAAGCCTATAAGTGCTTCTATGGCAAGTAGACATTTGCCTTACTCCCTGCTATAATCATAACGTGTGCCGGAAAAGTATCGTGCGATGCAAATGAGCCATCGAATCAGCCGCCAAGGTATGGCGGTAAGACGAAGATGACTTGCTAAATATTGATCACGAATGCGTGCTACCGTACTACAGACAAACCGGGCATGCGTTGACTTCGGATTGTCTCTACAAACCTAGCAATGGTCGAATCGGGACTGACATTTCATGGTGTCTGTTCAGACACTTGGATACAACTGGGCATTTTCCTACCCATGCCACCCATGTGCTACTCACCAGCTTCATGTTGTCTGTAGTGGGATCGGTGTGGAACTGATGCTCTCCCACAGTCGGTGCGGCCTTAAGTAGGTGGCGGTGTGAGGCGGGACGGGCCCGCGGCCGGTCACGCCCCCTTCTCCTGACCGTGGTGGTCGGCGCGGCAGCTCTCGAGCGAAGGGGTCGGCGGCGCGGGAGGGTCGCGGGCGGGGCGCCGCGGCTCTTCGGCAGCTCCCCTCGGCCCGGCCTTGACAGACGGCCACCGAACTGGGTCAGCTGCCGGCGGTGTTGATTGTTTAATTGGCCCCCTGGACCGAGGGTGGAGCTTCTCCCCGTGGCTAATGTGAGGCGTGTGAGGAGGCCGACCGCCCCGACACCGCCCACCGTGGGACCCCGGGCTCGCGGAGTCACACCAGGTTCAACGCGCCGCACCTGCTGCCACGGCGCCGTCTGCGTTACTGCGTGAATGCGAAATCGCGGCGTCGGGCTCCCTTCATCAGTAGTATCCTGCATTGACTTCAGTTTCTGCTGGCTCACACGGTCAGGTTTTATAGCGATAGTTGTGGAGGGTTACGTTGAGTGCTGCTGTTCTCGCGACGGGCGGCAGACTGGCCCCTATTCCCTTCTCTTCCCCCTGTCCCAATCCTGCAGGGTCAAGCAGGGATGGCGTAAGAGTGTGGTACTTGGGGATACTGCTGATAGTTATCTGATAAACAGATCATTTTGCAGTTGCTGACCGCAATAAGTAGGGGAGACCCGGGAGGTATGGGCCGGTTTGTGAAAAGGCAATTTTCTTCCAGTGGGCAGTGGCTAGACCCGGTTTTTCACTCTGTGTACGTGAAATTGCGCTTCGCCTGCAACGTGTGTCTGATATTAGGCAACTGTGATCAACTATTTTGTCTCGAGATAACTTTCAATAAATCATGTGCTTTTTCGATCCATCAAAATACACCGGGAGGTATGGGCCATGGCCCGGGAGGTATGGGCCGGTGCCATGTTTCATATTATTTTCTCGACAATGAGAATAATACTCGTAACTGGTATCTTCCTTGATCTCTCTTGGGCCCAGGAACTGCATAAGCGGCCAACAGCTTACTTCATGGAGGTCACTTGGGCCCATATGTATTTTGGTTAACTCAATCATGCACCATGAAATAAGATCAACAATATTTTTCTGTTCAAATGAAATTTGGAGTTAAATTTTCGACCTTGCGCGATAAAAAATAAAACTTATTGACGGGGACATTGAATGAAAGCATCTTCTGATTTATTTAGGATCAACGGGGTGGGTGGCCCGAACCTCCCGGCTAGGACGCCAGAATGTGCGTAGCATCTCAGCTCATAATCTTGCAAGAAAGCTTCAAATTGTCTATCCAGTCTCAATTTGCATGCTTTAAACTTTATGTTAGCGATGGTCTGCCATCATAAAACGAGCCTGGTTCAAATTTATCACGAATTTTCTTTATGTACCGTACATTACTCGAAGAGGGCAAAAACGCTTTATCACCGCTCATTGCTAAAGAAGACTAAGGAAGATTTTGAAAATCACGTGGAATGTATAACGGAATGGCTGCAACCAGTTAACGCCGTCAAATGTGTAAAAATACGCAACACTTCTTCAAAACTGCGATGGCCCATACCTCCAGGGGGCCCATACCTCCCGGGTCTCCCCTACCTATGCATAAAAAGTTTACACTCTCCGTTAAACAAGTCCTCATTCCAATGCTCCAAATTCCATTCCAAAGTGCACATCGTGCTTTTGTTGAGCAGTGGTGGTTATTTATTGATTTTTTTTTGTGAGACATAGAGCTGACACAACGACCAATAAAACACTACAGCTTATAGCACTACACTACAGCTTATTATGATTTTGTATTATGGAAAGTTAGCACTAACGAAGAAGAAGTTCAAAACGCGTTTGCGAAGCTTTCTTTAATACAAAAAAAAAGTTTCACTTATCTATAGTCATACTTGTCACAATGAACGTTCAACATGAGATGAACCTGATAAAACTACGACAGTAGGTATTTAACCGAGCGATACATTGTGCAAGGTTACTACTGTGGGTGCCTGGCTGTGGGTGGTGTCCTTCTGGAGTCTGGTCCTCGTGGTAAATCGGGGAAGCTGGCAAATATCATAGCTCTGGGGCAACGCAATATGGGTCACTAATCCAGGTCAGTTGGGGTGAAACAGAGCTCAAATCTCACCACTTTCCCAACATTTCAAGACTGTAACATGGAAACTCGACACTGAATGCGACCGCAACATTTGCGGCCAAATTATTTTATTTCAAGTTATGAGCGATGTTTTTATAGCACATCTGAATTTAGCATCGTACGACGAGATGGAGAAGAGTGCATCGAACATGTTTACTCTTGTAACCTGTCGCTTATGAAATTGTTTAGCATTCCGAAGCTACCAAAGCACTGTGCTTTCTCTTCGAGGCATCGCATTATACCGTGCAGGCAATCCGGAGTCTGTAGGCCTGTGTAAACCAGTCAGTTGCCCACTCGCGGATCCAGAAAGGCGGTCCTGTTCGGGGGGGGGGGGGGGGGGGGCATACCCCAACACGAAGGTCCTTTTAAGTTAAAAACTCGTATTTTGATTCCTTATGAGCTGCTATGCAGTTACATGCAAGCTATTCCCGATACAAAAGGTCTATTTTTCTTTTTATTTAACCTGCGCCCCGCTGGGCTATTCAGCCATACGCGCCCTGCTGGGGGGGGGGGGGGGGGGGGAGGCAGATTCTGCTCCCCTGTCTAACTTCCGAACCGATGGTCGTAGAAAGACGGGAAAACGTCAATCGAAAGCTCTCAACAAGGCGGATCTTAAGAGCCCAATTTTTTTTGCTCAAGTAGGTCAGAGGTCAGGTCAAGGTCAGGTCAAGGGTACAAAATGCAAGTTTCTACAGTTTCAGCCTTGCACCGTAGTTGCCGAAGAATGGACTGAGACTAGCTGCCCAAAACGTGTTTTTAGGCTACCAAGACAATATTCGTTGCATACAATATGATGCAAAGGTCAAGGTCAGGTCAGGTCACCAAAACGAAATATAGAAAAGGACATGTGCGACACATGTTCTATGGGTCATTTTATTCATAGATTTTAATAGACACACTCAATAAGTGATATGGATCACATCTGGATGAATTTCAGGTCGAGGTCAGGTCAAGGTCAGGTCAAGTTAGGTCAAATTTTGAAGTTGGTTGTAAAGGCCTAAAAAGGTGTCTATCTGATGCCATTTTTCACGGCGAATCGAATGGTGCTATTTTTGTTTCCTCACGAGGCCTAGTACTTCCAAAAAATCCTTTTTCAAAAAATTGTGTGCCGTGAAGTCATAAAATTTTGAATAACTCCCACATTTTTGAACCGATTCTTCTAAAAATTGGTATATAGGTGCATATAGACCACTGACATATATTCCGTTTTTTATACACTCAAAATTTTGGATTTTTTAAAAATTTCCAAAAAGTCAGCTTTGTAAAAAATATGGGCCAAAATCCAAAATTTTCAAAAAAGCGAGAGAGCCATTTCATAGACAAAGTAGAATCACGTATAACCTTTTTGTAACGTCTTGATTCCTTTAAAAATGAAGATGTTAGCGGCGTTAGAAATTGTGCCGTTTTTGAGGCGAAAATGGCGGACATGACGTCACTAAAACGTCATTTTCTTAAAAAATTTCCGACGGATTTCGCTCAAGTTTTCAGGAAACGTCTTAAATTGATGTACGATAAGGCTGAAAGTTTGACATCGTTAGCGTAACGCGTTTAGAAGTTATTGGCGAAAAACGGGAGGAGGGGCAGACTCTGCCCCCACCCCTTCCCCAGCGGGGCGCGGGTTAAGTAAAACGGCAAAGTTTCGTCGACTTCGGGCGCTGCGGGTGCCCCTCTGGATCTCCTGCAGTGCTGTAACCCGGCCGGTGCCGCGGAGCCAGTCCCTACGGCTGACGCGGCATGGCGTCAGCTGCCCGCTCTTGAGCACCACCACACCCCTGACGTCATTGGCGCTCCGGAGACGCCCCTGCTGACTCTCTAGGTCATCCAACGAATGTACGGGTCAGCGCGAGGCCTCCGGACAGGGTCACACACCTCAGGGACCCGAGCCGTCAGCTCGTTACCTTCACCATGCCCCTGCCGGACCCATCGCCGAGTCAGGGGAGACCCATGGAAACAGGCAGCCCCACAGAATACCAACGATCGGCCGCCGGGAGGATCCCGTTGTCACGGCGCGCGCCATGCGCCGCCGGCGACAAGACGCCCTGACCCTGAAGGTGCGAGACAGATAGCCGCTGACCTGAGGCGGCGGGCGGACGGACGGTGGGGTGGTGTACCGGTCAGAGGGGGATCGCTGGAGACGGCGAGCCGGGCCGCATCGGGACGCCACTCACGGGCTGGCGGACGGAGGGTGGGGCGGTACCGGTCAGATGAGGACGGCTGCAGACGGTGATCCGGGTCTCCCCTCTCTCCAGCGCCTCTCCTGTTCCTCCCAGGAACAGTCTAACTAGGTCCAAGTGCATAAATGGATGCGCCATCAGATCTCAACTCCGGAGAAGAGAACACAGTCTTGTCGCTCTCCTGGTCGTTTGAAATAATGATTTGAGGATTCCAAGGATTACTGTATGCCTGGCCTATTCAAATACATTAGCCTGAGGGGTGTGGTAATAACTGGTGTAAGCAAAGTGACCACGGTCAAAAATGCATTACCAAGTCAACATTTTGGGATGGCCTCGTTCAAAAAACGGTCGGAGGGAGCGGCGGTACCGCGGCGGCCGGAGCGGGCCGTCCGCGGCCGCTGTCACGGCGAGCCGGACGGGCGGCACGGCTTAGCACGGACGGCGCGGAGCGGCCGGCACGGGCGCGGCACGCGGGCCGGGCGCCGGGTACAGGACAGACGGCACCGCACCTGCCGCGCCGGCGACTCCAGACCGTTCGCCGGAGATGGGACGGCGGTGGGTCTGGTGACGGCCGCGGGTCCCGCCGTCGCCGGCTCTGATGGTTCGGAGACGGCTACCCGCTGCCTCCGGACACCGCCCCGCCTGACGGTCGGTGAGACCCGCCAGTTGGGGCGACGGTTGCAGACTTCAGCATCACACTATGCTATTGGACATATTAACGCGCGATCGCTGGCGCCCCGACTGAATGAAGTGTGCCAGCTGCTGCAGAGTGAGAGGCTGGAGGTGCTCTGTATCTCGGAGTCTTGGTTATCGGAAGACGTCCTCGACGGCGTTCTCCTGGTGCCGGGCTACCGGCTGCTCAGATGCGACCGGTCGGGAGGCCGTCGAGGTGGTGGCGTCGCCATCCTGATCTCCGAGAGTCTCCGGGTGACGCGACTGCACGACTCCAGCGACGGCGACACCGGCGTGGAGGCTCTGTGGCTGTCGGTCGGTGGTGCCGGCCGAGCTCAGGTGGTGGTCGGCGCCATCTATCGGCCACCGGGGACACTAACAGCCCGATTGCGCGATGCTCTGCGCGGACAGTTTGAGATGGCGCTCGCAGTGGGGAAGCCTGTGTATGTTCTCGG